ATTCAAGTTACACAGTTTCATGTATTTCATATACATAGCTTGAGGAACATGGTGATACTGTAGCTCCAAGCATCAATGATGCTTTCCAAGCAGGTCTATGGGAAAGGAGCAATACTAATATCTGACCCTTTTATAAGATAGCATCAGCTTTTCCCAAATCTTCTTGGTAGACTTCTACATTATCACATTGATCACAACTGAGTTGAACAATTGTATCTAGACAATGGGGAGATTGGCAAAACAAGGATCTTGCTTTTTGGTGTCTTCAGTTGAAGAAAAGTAAGGGACAGGGGAATTGGAAAGCAGTTTCTGTCAAGGGTAGCGATAGGATCAGGTGTTCTGTGGAATCATTGCTCCATATTTCCCAGTTGGTATTGGTTTTTGTCTTATACAACTCCATTGCTTTCTGAACTCAAATATTTTCCTGAACTTGTCCTAGATAATTTAGAATATCTAATATCTTTTATGCCTGAATAATAACTGTTTTGAATAGTGTTTCTCCCCTGATATATTCACTGACATTTTTATAGTCAAGGCTTTAATCTTTTCCACCCATGTTTCTAAACTCTTTAGTATATTATTTTGTCATAAATAACTCAAAGTTTAATATAATTTGCAAAATTCACTAGTGTGATGCTTACTCCCTTTTCTAGATCCTGAGTATAATACTAAGTAGAACTAAATCAGAATGTAAAATATTGACCTTTGAGTCATCCTAAAGGAAACATTTCTTACCAACTGTATGCACGTTCATTTCACAGTTCTTCACATCTTTTAAACGAACTTTGTTTTTGTAGAGTTGAAGAGGATCAGAACTAAAAGGAGCTTCTGGCACTAACGAGTTGAGATCACTGAGATGAAGTCTAAATGACTAGTTAGGGTTTGAGACAAGGCCTAGTTCGAAGTTTTTTTCCAATAGATTGATACGTGAGTGGATTTTGCCTGAGAAATGTTAGATAGTAGAAACCATGAGACCTGTGGAGCAGGATCTAACGAGACAGAACTAGAGTCAGTCTCAGATAGGGCAAGGACAAAGTGTGGCTGAGAAACATGGAGCAAGCTCAGGCAAGGTTCAGGCAATCTTGGGCAGTAGGTCCAATGTTGTAAGACAGGGCACAGCAGTATGTGAGCCCTTGGGGCTAGGCAGGTGGTGTTCATGATTCAGGGAGATATGTCCATTTGTTTCAGAAACATTGCCAGAAGGCTAAGTTTGGACAAGGCTTCCGTTCCTGGGGCAGAGAGGTGACAGGTGCCAGGTGGGGTTCAGGTCCTAGTCACATGTACTCAGAAAAGGGATCTGGGAATAGGGAGAGGCTCTCTGTCTCAGGATGAGCACTCACAACTCAAGATGGAAGAAGTTAGGCAGAAGATTACATGGCCATTGCCAATACCAGTGATAGTTCTATGACGTGAGCTGTATGACACCCAGGGATAATCCTGGAATTCTAATACTTGCATCTTCAGGGCAATAAGGATAGTTGTAAGGCATAAAGAAATCCCAGCAGCCATAACCTAGGGCTCTAGGCTTATTTTAAGGCGCTACCCCAGGATGGGAGAGCAGACTAAGCCAGCAGGTCTGTAATACTATAAATGCAGACTGGAGATCAGAGCAAGGCATGCTGCAGTTGCTAGAATCCAATTTATACCTAATTTTTAACCCACGATTTTATAGGGGGTAAGGGACAGCAGAAGACGCATCAGTCTCCCCAAACCTTACTGTAATAATTCGATAGGGAAAAGGTTGTCTTGCAACCTCTTTTTAAAAAGCATTTCAGTTGTAGGTGGTGTTCATGAATTCATTATCTACAGTATGTTTACTGACCTGTATGTCTTAATATAGTTACACTGTAGGTTTATTTTAATTTTAGACATTCTTTAGCAGCAACTTAACTCTATGATACCTTTTTTTAAATTGAGACATGAAAACAGCTATAAGCACATTATATAGATTACAAGAATCCATAAATTGGATATGAAGAGAGTGTGTTGGTCAGGCTTCACACAGTCAATACAACTGGGTTATTAAGGTGACTACGATCACCAGACCATGAAAGACTTGGACCCATCATTTCATCCATCTTAATGACCACATCCACACAACTGCACAAAGATACAATCAATTGCTCAGTAACTATCCATTACGATCGCAGAAAGCAAAACAAAACAAACTGACAGTGCTTTGGTTCCTCCATCGAGGCTACATAGACCAGACTGTTAATCACGTGCTGCCTCCTTTGTTTTTATGCCCTTTATGGTTTGGATGCATTTCCTCCATGCCAACTGCTTATACATTCTCAGTTTTCCAAGTTTTCATCTCCAAGTTTTCTCATTGTCATTAGTTTCTGCCTACTTTATTTTCCCTAATTTATCTTATTAACAATAGATTTTTAGAGCAACTTATACTTCATTTTGTAGGCATCACTCATTTTGTCATTATACTTATTTATATGACTTATTGGAAAACCTATTTTTTCTATGTTTCAGTTTTGTCTGCTACATTTAGATGAGCCTTCCATTTTCTCTCTGAAAGTAGTCTAGCAAAAATAGCGGTATGAGTTATACTTTACATGAAAACAGATATAATAAATGCATTTGGCCTTTTTTACATTTACCTAAATATATATTTAGCTTAGATACACACCTGCCTATGTGTTTTTGGATTAGCTATAATCCACATCCACAGTTTATTCTAGATAGGCTATGTTCATGTCTTGCAAATGGATTGATCTGTTTTTCCCTCTCAAATTCTACTTAACTGAATACCAACCTGCATTATTTAGTGTCTTTTTATAGTGGTCAAGTGCTTCTGTTTTATCACTGCTTTGTGCCTCCTAGCTTTTCTAGGTTTGTCCTACACAAACTTCATCAGCAAGAAGTGAAATATTTGGTAAACTAGTAGTTGTTTTGTTTTGTGTATTTGGAAAAAACACTAACATTTTTCTTTACTCATTTTTTAATGAAATGATCCGAGTTGACTAAATTCTTTGGTACCTGTAGGCATAAAAATAGTTCATTAAACTTTTGCTTCCTAAAAAAAAAAAAACAACTTTTGACTGAAGAGAATGTTTTAGGTTAAAATTACAACTTTCCTTTGAAAAAGGAAAAAAAGATAAGAATTATCTATGTTTTCCATGAATTAGCTCTACAACAACTTGATAACATTTGATTGTTGTACTGTGTGCATGTGTGTGGGTTGTGTATTGCTTCTTTCTGGCAGTTATAATCACTGATACAGTAGGAGGAGGATACTCCCTGCTATAACTGGAGAACAGAGGCAGTGTGCTTTTGCCTCAGGATGTGCTACTGGAATTGCTGGTAGCTGATGTCAGATGAGGTCACGGCCAACCACTCGGATCAGGGAACTGCTTATAAAGATTAATGAGGAATAGGTGAGGGTGGGATAGGGGTCAGAGTGGGCAGCTGTTGTTGAAGGTACTTGAAATCAGAGACACAAAATTCCAGGCAAGACAGATGATTGGGTGACTTTGTATATATAAGAAAGCACTTTAGAAATAACCTGTCCATAGTCCAGGCAGTTTCCTGAAAGTAGCTGAAACAAATTTGACAGCCTTGACTGCCTTTTATTCTCAAAGTCTCAGATTTCCAGGTTGTCTCTTTTAGATACTAGAATGCCAGTCAGTTAGATTGACTCAAATCTTTGTCCCATGTGTAAATTTCCTCTCACTGTTGTCCTTAGTGTACACTATCCTGGAGAATCATCTCCATGAACAAATTAGCTGCTGATCTCCATCTTGCCTGGGCTGGGCCTTTCAGTGATATCAAAAGTTCTAGAAAGTTTGACAGAAGGAGGAGAGGAAGAACCTTATTCTTCATAAATAGATTACTTGTGTTTCAAGGAGCCCCTCTTTCAAATGGTAAGTCCACACAGGATAAGGGCTTTGACACTTTCCTACATAAAGAATGTCTTCTGCCCACATGAGAACAACCTGAACTTCATGGAGGTCTCATAATGGAAATGTGAGTTAGTGTGGAGTTACGATTTTCATAAAATAGTACTCAAGGATTATCTGTTGAGTTTAAAATTGGTTTATTTCTTCCTCTTATAATCATAAGGAATGAAGATTTTATTGAGTACATATTCAATAATTGCCTGAGAAAATAGTTATAGACTTTGGGCATATGTCATTATTATTGGTAGTAGAGGAAGAAAAGGAATGGAGAATGTGATATAATAAAACTATATTTCATCATTGTTCCTTATCCCTGGCACAGAGATCTTAAAACACTTGGAATTTCTTTTATTTCCTTTTTTTAATCATAGACTTTTAGAAATTATTTATTTATTATTTTATTTATTTAAAAATAGAGGAAGAAAGAGAGCTTCCCAATTGCTCATTCACTCCTGAAATGTCCACAAAGCCAGGAACTGAACACATGTTACACAAATGGATGGCAGGGAACAAAGTATTTGAGTCATTACCTGATGCCTTCCACACTGCACTGTAACAGGAAGCTGGAATAGAAAGTGGAGCCAGGGCTTGAACCCAGGCTGTCTGCAATGAGATGTGAGCATCCCAAGTAGCATCTTAACCACTACACCGAAAGTTTGTCTCCATGGAATTTCTTGAGTAATAGAGGTCTTGTTTGTTATTCATGAAGAGTTCTTTTTTGCTCATACCTGAGTTTAATTATTTTTAAAATCTTATTTATTTATTTGGGTGGGGGGAGAGAAGGGAAAAGGGGAGAGGCAGCTCCTATCCACGGGGTGGGGGGGTTTACTCCCTAAACGCACACAATGCCTGCGGAGAGAGTGATAGAGCCAACTACTTGAGCCCTCAGTGCGGACTTCTTGGAGGCAGGTATCAATCAGCTCTACAATATGGGATACTTCCTGTTAGGACAGATGCCTCATACATGAGCTTATTTTAATGTGATGATTTAAGTTAGAGTTTCTAGATAGTCTCAGAAGTTTGGTTACCAGAAAGCCAAAACATGGAATTAGAGAGTCAAACTTTCAACCTTATCTTCTGACTTCTCAGGGAGAAAAAGGGGCCTGGAGACTGGATTGAAAGAACCCTTGAACAAGGAAGTTTGAAGAATCTTCAGGTTGGTGAACACATTCACTTACTGGGGTGGTGTCATGCTCACAGATGGCATAGCTAACATATCTTCCATTTCGTTCTTCCCGCGTTATTTCCTTGATAATAAACTCATAAATGTAAGCAAAGTGTATTTTTAAAGTTTTACGATCCTTTTTTAGCAAATTACTGAACATTAGAAGAGTGATTTGAGAATCTCCAATTTATAGTCAATGGATCAGAAGTATGTATGGTTCCTAAGAGCTGTGATTAGTGTCTGAAATGGGAGAGGTTTTGTGAGACAGAGTGCTTAACCTGTGGTGTCTCAACTCTAGATGTTGACCATCAGAAATAAATTGTTGCACACTACATTGGTATTAGAAAATTGGAGCATTAGTTGTTGCCAGAGAAAACACCCCAGAGGGGAAGAGTACTTCGAAAGTCATTGCAGAATCCCATCCGTCAATTCATCATTTAAAATGAAAATGTTCTTGGTTTAGTGTTACCACAGTTCTTTCTACACCAAAACATGAAAAATTTTGATCTACCGCAGTAGTGGATTATAAGGAATTTGAGTTTATTGAGCAACCTTGTGATATATTAGTTAAAGCAGTCTAGTATAATTTTGTCACTATTTAAGTTTCATGTCTGATTTTCATTCTCAACAAGCCAAAGTGTCAGAAGAATGCACTTATTATTTATCATTGACAAAACTACAAAAACTGAAGCTGCTTGATCAACACTAGATCACAGCTGGGGAGAAAAGAGGGTAACTCTCACATCATAGACCTACTCTTCACCCTTCAGTCTGCCAATCTTTTGAAGATAGGACTGGATTCTTCAGAAAAGGCAAACGTGCCACCCATGCTAATTATTATTTATGCCATAAGTAATAGGAATCTGAAAAATAGAGGAATAAGCAAAGAAAGGACTCATTTTTTTTCTTACATGTAAGATACAAAGGTACACAATCCAAGGCTGCTATGGCCATCCAAAAGTGCTCTCAGGGACCTAAGTTCCTTCTGTCTTCCTGCTTCAACATCCCTAGCAAAGGGTTTCCAACTTTTTGGTTACAAGATGACAGTTACAATTATGCAAATCACATTCATGTTCAGGCAGAAGAACAAGGCAAATGACAAAAATAAAGAGGAAATAGAGTAAAAAGCCGGCTGTCTGTCCCCTTTTAACAGCTTTTGCATAAGGAATCTATCAGTGATTTCTGTGTACACCTCTGGCCAGAACTGAGTCACAAGCACTTCTAGCTGAAGGGAGTCTGGGGTCGTCAGTATTTTAGTTGAGCAGATCGTACATTCAAAGCACTCCGTAGTTCTAAGGCACAGATGAAGGGAAATGGACATGTTGCTAACAGAGCTGATGCTTAATTACAGTCTAAAGAGTGACCACCTCCAAATGCGACTTCTTAGCCACTCATCAGTCGGAAGGTTCAAATACTGCCATTGCCTGAAATAGCACCGCCACCGGATGCCTGTTCTTCTTCTTCTTTTCCTTCCCTGAATGTATGTGTGTTCTCTGTATGTTTTCTCTGTACTTTTTGTCTCCTTCTATATCTCATTTCCCTCTCAGTATTTTTCTTTTTTTATCCTTCTTTCATCCTCCCTTTTTGTTGTAATACATTATCTTTCTAACCACTTGTTTATCTACTATTGCGAGACAAACTGCTGCTGGAGTTAGTTGCTTGAAACAGATGGGAACAAATGACCATGATGGCAATGCATTAAAACCATATGTACAGGGGGGCTGGTTCTGTGGTGTAGTAGGCTAAACCTCTGCCTGTGGTGCCAGCATCCCATATGGGCACTGGTTCAAGTCCCGGCTGCTCCTCTTCTGATTCAGCTTTCTGCTATGGCCTAGGAAAGCAGTGGAGGATGGCCCAAGCGGTTGGGCCCCTCCATCCAAGCCGGAGATCTTGGCTTTGGATCAGTTCAGCTCTGTCCATTGTGGCCATTTGGAGAGTGAACCAGCAGGGAAGACCTTTCTCTCTGTCTCGCCCACTCTGTCTGTAACACAGGTCATCTCTGACCTGCAGATTGTAATTTGTAAATATCTGAGTTACAACCACACTGATTTATCTTTTCTCACAGTTCTGTGACTTGACTAGCTCAGCAGGGCAGTTTTTCTATTTCACAGTGTAACTTCGATCACTCTGAGGCTGCATTTAGCTCCTAGTTCACTTGGTGTTGGAACATTCAACATGGCTTATTATCTTCCAGAGCCTCTCCACATGTGGCATCCGGTTATTCAGCTGTCTGATCTGAGCTCTTTTGCTACATGGAATATGGCTTCCAAAAATAAAAGTATGCCAAGAAGTCAGAGTGCAAGTGCATTTCAAGCCTCTGCTTGCATCATTTTGCTCACATCTCATTGGCCAACACAGGTCACATGGCCAATTCAGGTCACAACGTGGGAGAAGATGCATAGGAATATACTGGGAAGCAAGGATCCTTGGAGGCCCCCAACATAACAAACCACCAGCATGCTTTCTGGCCTTCAATGATTCACTCTTCCCTTACACATAAAATATATTTACCTCCTTCCCAGGACCCACAAAATATTAACCCATTTCAGCACAAGGTTCAAGCTTGGCATCCAGCATCTTGTCACATAAATCATTATCAGGTTTAGGGGAAGGCCCTTGGGTAAGATTCTTCAGGTGTTTAGAGCTTGAACAAGTTAACTGCTTCACACATCCAATATTCGTTCAATAGTGAAATAAGAAAGGATGAGTGCCATAGACTTCCTTTCCAAAATTAGCAATGAAGAGGAAGGCCAGAGGGTACATAGTTACTGATAGCATCCTGTAATTGATCTTTATCCCTGCCAACACTTATTTTTTTTTAAAGATTTTATTTATTTATTTGAGAGGTAGAGTTACAGATAGTGAGAGGGAGAGACAGAGAGAAAGGTCTTCCTTCTGTTGGTTCACTCCCCAAATGGCCGCAATGGCTCGAACTGCGCCGATCCAAAGCCGGGAGCCAGTAGCTTCTTCCTGGTCTCCCACATGGGTTCAGGGGCCCAAGCACTTGGACCATCTTCTACTGCCTTCCCAAGCCATACCAGAGAGCTGGATTGGAAGAGGAGCAGGCAGGACTAGAACCAGCGCCCATATGGGATGCCGTTACCGCAGGCAGAGGATTAACCTACTGCGCCACAGTGCTGGCCCCGACACTTCTTATTTTACAATGTTTTGCCAGCTGGAGAAACTGGTAATGAGAAACAATTATGTTGTCTAGCATAGAAAGTTGGGAGTTGGAAATGTTTCCTTTAAATTCTGCTTGAAAACTGAACAATATTGCATTTACCTGATTTCTATTTCTTTTGCAATCTTTTATCACAGGTGAGCCAAAACACATATCGGCACACTTAGTATTCTCTCTGGAAATATCTTTAGCTAAGCTCTCAAATTTATTAGTTATGTTTATCCTTTTGTAAGTTATAGGTAACAATTTCCTTTATTATTCTATAGTATATAACACTAGTTTCCTTTTCCACAGGTTTTAATAGAAGTTTTACTATTCTTCTAGTCTCCATTCATAGTTTCCTCACTGTGTAGGCCTCTACCTTTCATGCAATCCCAAATCCTGCATTATTTGTGATTTTTTACATTCTGTATTTTATGATGCCTTGGTATCTCAGGGCCTTTATGACCCTAGAGAAACTTCTCTTTCCAGATATAATTAATCTCTAGAAATAATAAGATATTTCCCTGGAAGTACATCTTTTATCTGCAAATCAGACATGTTAGCTGCTGTAATAAAATGCTACAGACTGGGTGGCACGAACAACATGCTTGTGGGAACTGGGAAGTGCACAATTAGAGTGCCAGTGTGGCCCATGGTGGAGTTTTTGGTTAGGGCTATCTTCCCAATATGGTTGCCTTCTCATATTTTTTCATATGACATAGAAAAAGAGAGCACTGGCCTCTTTGCCACCTGAGATGGGTTCACACCCTTAGGACCTCATTTAATCTAATTACCTTCCAAACACATAAACTAGAAAAACCATCCCATTGGGAATTAAGGCTTCGCTATATGGGAAGACATAAAAAGTTTTGTGGAAAAGGCACAATATCTTTTAATTCATTTTCCAAGTACACTTGAAGTTCCTTTATATAAATTCTACGGCTACACAAGCATTCAGTCCATAAAACCAAGCAATCTGGAAACCCAACACTCCTTCTCCATAAATAACCTCCTCTTTTGAGCTCTCACCTGTCACCTATGGGCGAGGAACAGATATCTTACTCAGGGAAGCCTCTATACCCTGGTACCCTCTGAAATGATCCAAATTGTGCAGTCCTAAACTGCTTAGTCCTCTTGGACTACCTTATTTCTTCCTTCCCATGAAAACTACAGTAAAGGCTCTTGTCCATCCATTTCTCCCACTCCTTCGCCTCCTGACAGACCCTGGTGCTTCCCCGTGTGGTTCCGCATAGCATGCCACGCCACTTCCTCACTTCCTCTCAAAAAATATAAATAACAAATTATCTTTTCAATGGCAGTCATCTCCTTATCTGCTGGCTTCACCATCCTGGAAAAAAAAATCCTGGTACATTGAAAAACAGTTCAATACCATATGCTTAAGTTTGTGTTGCAGTAGCAACGTATCTCAATGCACCAGTTTCTATGTTAATTAGTTTTACATAACAGTTACCCAGAATCCAAAGGATTTGAACATCAATGAGCTGTTATTTCTCACAATTCTGTGGGTTTACTGACTCAGCCAAGCATTCTTCTGCTTTTTGTGGTAGAGCTGAGATAACTCAGTCTGCTACACACAGTTGGGAGTTCGGCTGGCACTGGAATGTGCATGATGGTCCTCTCTATTTGTCTACTAGTTATTCAGTTGTCAAAATCAAGTTTCTTTTTAATGCAGCAGCTGGCTTCCAAAAGGGAGTTTTCTAAAAGACAAGCCCACTGTACAATATCAAAGCACATGCATGCTAATACCTCACTAGCTAAACCATCAGGCAAGATCATACTCTACATTGAAGGGACTATTCAAAGGTTG